TTTCCCGCAAGATCAAAACTCTGCAAATATGAAGGTGTAGTTAGTAGTTGGGAAGGCCACACCCACAACCAGCATACCTAAACACTCAATAGTAGTTTTTTTTTTTTTTTTAACGACTACCAGCACACCTCTTGAAACGTTCCACTGATGTACTGCACTTTTTTTTTTTTTTTTTTTTTTTTAAGAAAACACCCCTGGCTATCGTTTTGGAAGAAATAAAAAAGCTGGGCATGAAAGGATCAAGACACGCATATGGAGAAAACTGCCAAGTACCTGGGACTGTACTGCATATTTTTACTATACTCTTCTGATTCCCACAGGTAACAAGACTATTAGGTGAAAGAAGGATTCTAACCCAGATGTTCTGACTCCAAATCCAGGCCTCTTTAAACAAAATCAAAATGTGAATATTAGCCGAGGTTGTTAGATTGTTAATAGCTGAGTGAGTAAAAATTACAACCGCACCATTTCCCAGGATTGCTTCTTGGGGACATGTGGAAGGGGATTTTACCATTTTACAAGTTTGATGGAGACATACATTTGAAATCCCTTCCTTACCGACCCAGGTTTACGAAATGCCTTGATGTCCTTGGAAGAAAGGCAACATAAAAACAAAGAATAATATCTCTTAAACCACAGTCCAAAAGAATCGTTGCTAAATAACTTAAAATCACAGTGACGGAAGTGTTTGGAGGGGAGGAGCAAGTCGCCACAACAGTAAACATAACACACACAGTCAACTTGGAGACGAAAACCGAAATAGGCGATTGAATCCATGAAAAATCTCAGACCAAGTGGGGCTGAGCTGCAATTGGCACTTGCAGCCGAGACAATCAGCCCCAATTCGGTGGCTCTCGAGGCACAGCTCTCGAGGCGCGACGCCCACGGTCCCCACGACCCCCTCGGCCGGCGGCCCGGGACCCGAGGGAGGCAGGCAGGGAGAGCTGGAGGTGCCGAACTCTGTCCCCAGCGCTCGCCTCCTACCGCCCCCCACCGGCTCCTTCTGGGAGCCGCTCGCCCCTGCCCTGGGACCTGCCGGACCGCGCCGGGGATCGGCCGCGCCGTCGCACCGCCACCGCGACTCCCCGGTCCGCCCAGGACGCCCCTCACTCACTCACCCCACTTCTCCAAGCCTCGGACCGCACCCTAACGAGGCAGCTGCAGCTCCAGCTCAGGGGCCAACTTCCTCATAGCGGGGTCCTGTGACAGACCAGGAGTGGGAGGGAGAGAGCGGTGAGGCACGGAGCCGACAGCTTGCTCCCCGCCGCGGCTTCCC